GCAGATCGGAGAGCACGAGCGTTGCCGCGCGACGCCCACAGGTTATGGATTTTGGTTTGGGCGGCACGGCATGGAAAGGAAAATAAAAGCTCTTGCTCTTTGCAAGTCAGGAGGACACGACGAAGGCTTTGACTCCATGGGATATGAATGGGTCATGAGGCTTCTGAAGACGGGACCATGAATGCATGGGCTCAGTTCCCGTAGTAGAACAGATAACCAGACTGGACTGAGGAGTCCTGATTAAAAAAACGCCTTGTTTTATATTGATGTCCCCTGATTGTCACTGTGTATTAGTAGTGGATGAGTGCGCATGCTTCTGATAAGAGAGGTGCGGTGTGTTTCTTTCTTACCTTGCTTAATCAATCATGCTGCGTAGAGCTTGATATCAGTGAGCTTAAGGCTTCTGACCCTAAGATTAGACCCTAAAATACCTAAGGATCCTAAAGATGTACTAAGTCTATCCTAAAGATTCTGTATCTTTAGAAAAGAGGTCCGGATTTTTCTTTCGTCCTGTCCTCAGGCTCTGGATAAGGTAGTAGGGACCTAGGTTAGTAGGTAGCCAGCCAGAGGCAGCCAGCCAAGAGAGCCCGTGAGTGACGTGAAGCTCTCAGCCCAGCCCCCAACTTTTCCCACATCCATTCCATCAATGCCGCCTCATTCTCTTCCCCGCCCAAAACCTGAGACCTTCATTATAATACTACACCCAAGTCCGCACTAGGCGAATGATTCTTAAATCTGCATGGCTGATTTGCCCCAGCTTCAACTATAATAGAATCCCGGAATATCTGTCGCATTGCAACACACGATAAGCGAGGCACACAACCGATCATGGGCGTCTTTGACAGCCTCGACGCAGGCGTCACCAACCTGTTCGGTCAATGGAACGTCTATTCGACTGGTCTAGTGACCCTCCTGCTGGCTGTGGTCTCATATCGAGTTATCTCGACCCGCGATCCCGATGTGCATCCCATGCTCCTAGCTCGCCAAGCCGTCCCGTCTTCAGTCCGAAATGAAGGAGAGAGTCCTATCTATCGGTCCCAGGCTGCCCCTCATGGCATGCCGCTCAATACTGGCCTTAATGTGAAGGATGCTGGAGCTTCTAAGTGGTCTCGCGGTCGTGATGGCGACTTGAGAGATATCTGGAAGAGGGCGGCTGAGGGCGGCGAGAACGGGGCCAAGGGAAGGATTCTGACTGTCCTCGGTTCCCAGAACGTCGTGGATCATAAGCTCGGTATGGTTGGGACCTGTCAGCGAAAATGGACAATGCTAATAAAACCAAGATGATATCACTCGTCAGATTAATCTTATTGGTCAGCACATTGCCGAGACTGGTGGTATTAGGGTTGCCGTTTACCTGCCGAACTCAGTTGAACTCTTGGTAACGCTTTTCGCCTGCAGCTTTTATCAAAACCTCACAACGGTTCTGATCCCTTTTGATGTGTCCAATGATGAGCTTGTTTCTATGTTACGCCGCTCTGCTGCTGATACCTTGATTACTGCTCCTGGCGCATTCCTTTTCGATGCTGTAATCCAGGCCTACCCATCTCTTCGACAGCTCATTTGGGTCACAGACGAAGGAAGTAGCCACATGGACTGGAATGAGATCCCTGAAGGTACCGGGGGCAACATCAACGTCGCTACTTGGCAGGATATTCTTCGTGACTCCCCCGCCCATGCCGGCACCGAGCTCCCGACTATTGACCCCTCGAAGACTCCCTCCGATGTCGTCACCTTTTGGCAGACTGAGCCTGGCGAGGTTGAGGAAATGGTGCGCTTCAGTCAAGCCAACCTTGTCTCTGCTATTTCTGCTCAACTCGCTGCTATCCCAACCAAGGAGCGCATCAACGCATCGGATCTTTTTTTACCCGCTGATTCTCTTGCCAACGTCTATACACTCGTTCTTACACTCGGCGCTCTCTATTCGAATGCTTCCATTGCGCTGAACTCGGTCGCCGGCAAGTCACCAGACCTGGTTCTAGCAACTCAGGGAGTTGCTCCCACTGTTTTGGTTGCTAGTCCCGAGACGCTTCTCAAGACTCATGAGGAGTCCACTTCTAGGCTGACATCTTCTTTGGCCAACGCCTCTCATGTCATGGCAACTCGTTCTCTGGCCCTGGAGGGAGTTCATGCCACCTCCAACTTGCTTTCTGGTTTCTCTTCTGGCGCAGCCCCGGCCCTTGGCACAACACCTGGCAAACTTCGTCTGGTGTTAGTTGCAGAGCGTGCAGGTTCCGATACCCCTCTCCTCCCGGCCAACGTTTTGTCGGATCTACGTATCTTTACTGGGGCGAGGGTTGTGTACGCTTTAACCGCAGCCAAGGTGGCTGGAGCTATTTGCCAGACCGCTATCTACGACTATCGACTCCCGGTTGATGCCAAGACACACTTCGGTCCTCCATTGACCAGTGTCGAGCTATATCTCAAGGACGCCGGCGCTCACAAGACTACTGATGAGAAAATCGAAGGCCATGTAAGTTATCCACCAGCACCTAAATCCCTTGACATGCTAATACATTCGTAGATTGTCGTGAGAGGCCCTTCCGTAGCTGGAGGAGAAGTCAACGTTGGGATTCCCGGAAAAATTCGACATGACAATACCCTTGCTTATGCCTGAATTTGTAGAGCTGGGTATGATATAGGGTGGTGATGTCAGAGGAGATGGAGACAGCAAGATATACAGATTGATCGAACTTGGCCTCTCAGTCCATAGAGAATTCTATCTAGCATTTATGATCTTTTCATGGTTCGCTCGAAACCGAGAGAATACGATATATAAAAGTATGGCGTTCCCTTATTCTTGTCCAATACCATGCATTAGATATCGACCCAGTTGGATCAGGCTATTTCTTTCATGTCTATATTGCCCTGATCCAATGTGAGTATGGCAATAACGTTTCACAAACAACACGAAGCAATAAATAATCACGCTTATATACTACCAAAAGGCCCTGTAATCTTTGTGCTATGAACAAGGTCACGCGACCAGTTGTAGTTCGAGAATCTGTGCCCATTAACACTACCCTATACCAAGATGTTGCTCAAGGGTCCTTGTTGTTATGACGTCGAGTCGCACGGACATGGGGCTGAAATGACAGCTGTGCCGCTTGAACGCCTGAAGATCACAATAATATGGTTAATCGAGTGTCAGATCAAAGACAATGAGCGGGATTCAGACCGAGAATTTGGTATTGCTTAAAGGGATTAAAGGAATATACTAAAAGGGCTAGCAAGGTGGATGTCTCGGAAGTACAAGTTCCACGTGGGATCGGCCGAGATGGTTGCACCAGCAAACACAGTTACCTATTTGACTGAACTAAATAGATAGTTTAAAAGGATGAATAACTTAAACCTTTACGGGTATGAAAGAGTATCACTCTCGTGAGGTATCGTAGACAATTCAACCAACGAGTTACATATTTTCCTTTGATCAGGGTTCTTACATGAATGATCCGGAAGAGCTCGCATGCCAAGTTAACGGGAAAAAGGCAGAAGCTCATGCATTGAAATGCAGCCCAAGACCAAAAAACCCTTGTCCCGACTTGCGAGACCCCTGGCCCCTGCATCGTCATTCCCAATCCAGAAGCCCGGACGAAATGTATGTGCTCCATTGTTTATTCCCGGCATTGGCTAAATTGTCAGTTCTTTCAGGGTCTTTGAAGAAGCGAGAAGGAAAATCAACACAACAAGGCAAATGCAGCTGCATATTTTGCCTTTTAGTGTAGTGATTGGATTAGGCAGACAAATGCATTCCCAGAAAGGGGTGTAACACAGCCTTGCCAAGGAAATTTATCTATTGACCTTGTTGTGACTGTCCGCCAGAGACAACTCAAGATTTGCGGCGAGAATTCGATGGACCCATCATTCATCAGAGCCTAGACTTGGCTAGCGGAAGCAAGAACACGTAGGGCCTCTATCCTAAGCTTAGGGGGCTTTTTATGAAGCTTATTCTAGCATTCTCTTCTCAAGTATCATGTTTTGTTGCTCCCTGAGGCTTAGCTAGCTTAAATGGGCTTCAGCCGTAACTAATTTCAAGGGTCCATTCAAGCTTTGCTTTTGCTGAACCAAGCCTAGCTAACAAGCCAAGGAGCTCCTCCAACCAACTGTAAGAAGATAGATAAAACATGCCGTATCCAATGGGATGCGAAGGAAGTTTCACCAAAGATCAACGAAGCGGCCACTGTCGCAAACAAATATTGTCTCTTCATCCCTTACCGGATAAGAGGTGATATGCTAGATGTACGATATGTCGGCATTGCAGACCTGCATCCTCCTTTGGGTTATGATTGACAAGCTAATAAGAGCTTCCTCAAACTGAAGTTTGTGCTTGACAGAAACAATAGGAGCATATAGCTTTCGGTGATGTGATACCATTATGGTCAAGTAATGGCAGAAACCTGACCCTGTATAGACAACTCTACACATTGAATGTGGAAGAATCCAGTTACTTTTATCATCGACAAGGTAGGCAAGGCACCTTATTTGGTATTATATTGGCTCGTTTCTTGATTACTCCTACGTCGGGGCCTTCGGCCATACCAAACATGAACATACCACATCCTCGTGCCCCATTAGGGGGAATTTGCCTATTCCATAATTTAGACTATCTCTTTTCGTCTCTCTGTTCCACTACAACCACAGCGCCCTCAGTCTCCCCAGAAGATTTCGTTTTGGCAATTGAATCGACGAACATGAGTTGGAGCTGAAGAGGGGAAGCAAGATTGATATACCTAATGGGCATATATTTTCCTACCTTCTCCTTACTTCAACCCCCGCTGCTCGACCCCTTTCGGCGACGCCGTCACTTTTAGCCCCGCGTGTGCATTGCACTAAAGTACCGAAATCAAATCAACTACTAAGCTAAACCACCAAACGCTCGTTGAAATTCCGTATATTTATTTTACGACTATCATTGCCATCACTGCCCCTTCGCATGTCGTAAACCGCCAACGCTGTCGCGTCAACCCACGCAAAGGAAGCTCCCCAAACGATCGAATAGCCCAATGAGCCAGAATGGCACGGCGGCAGCCAAACCCTCCGCGGGTCAAAATACAGCTGCTCGTGTTGGGATGAAGAAGATATCGAGGCTCTTTGCCTTTACACGACTTGGGCGCGGTCGCCCAGAGAGCGCCAATGGACACCACCAGACCGAAGATTCCGCTTCTACACGAGAGAGCTCCCCCGATGTTCACCAACTTACATCACGACGTCGCCGCGGCGCAGCGCCGGAGCATAGAAAACCTGCAAGAAATGGCCTTAGCAGACTTATTGCCGATGAAGAGAATCAGCCCTGTGCCATCTGCGCGACAATAGATTTCCCGTCACTGCTCAATTGGCGCCCAGGACAGCCGCGGCCTTGGATTCCCCTGGCTCACACCCTCGCCGAGCTCTCAGCTTGCCCTTATTGCATTTTCTTTCAAGCCTTAGTAGGCGCTGAGCCGGACATAACACGCAAGTTCACGCCTTATCTGCGCATTCGCCAGGCATTTGAGCGCCTCGGAGTTGGAGAGAAACATGAACTCGGAGGTGCGGTCATATTTGAGGTCACTACAAAGAGCAAGGTGCTACCGTGGGGTTATATCGTGCGCATCGTGGATGGGGATGACGATATGGCTGGGTACAGCGAGACTACACCTGTGATCCGGGGCCGTGTGATACCCCCCAAGCTGGACATTGCGTTACCTCGGACCTGGCTGGACTTTTGCCGGTCCAACCATTCTCACACCAAATGCGCTTCATCTGGGCCCCCGATCCGAGGTCTCAAGCTTGTGGACTGCCAGGACAACCAGGTGGTGTTTGTGGACGACCTCAACGTGGAGGCACTCGAGTATGTCACACTGAGCTATGTGCGAGGCAGCCCGACCGACGAAGAATGGGATCATAATGGCTTGCCTGAGGTGCTACCTCCGCTGCTTACCGATGCCATAGCTGTGACCAAGTCTCTTGGTTTCCGATATCTCTGGGTTGACCGTTTTTGCTTTCCCCAATATAACGCGCACGAGCGCCGACGGCAATTGGAAAAAATGGGAGATATTTATGCTCGATCTGCATTAACTATCATTGTCGCAGCTGGCCAAGGCGTGGAAGACGGTATTCCCGGTATCAGTGTGGTGCGTGAAGAGCAGCTATCGCTGCAGACCGAGGCTGGATGTTTCACCACATCACTGACGAGACCTGATGTTGAAGTGGCCAACTCTAAGTGGGCATCCCGTGGCTGGACATATCAGGAAGGGCTTCTATCACGTCGTCGTCTTGTCTTTACTCCATCGCAAATCTACTTTCAGTGCCAAACCTTCCACTGTCATGAATCCATCTCTTTCCCTTTGCAGACAAAACCTGCCCTCAACCTCGGCCGCGTATTCCCTGATAACGGTGCTGGCGGTTGTACAGGCGATTTTAGGAACACCGTCAGCGGCTACGTCAGTCGTGAATTCTCATTCCCAGAAGACCGCCTGGACGCCTTCAGAGGTATATTGGACAGGTATGCCCAGATGGACAATGCTCTGGAAACCGTTCTTGGGCTCCCTCTCTTCCATCAAAAGGACTTCAAAAACGTGTCTAGTCCCACACGAACTGATCGGCTAGCTGTCGGTCTCGGCTGGATGTACGACCCCCCAGGCAATGCCGATATATCGACACACCCTTTGCAGCTTCAGGGCCCATTCCCTTCATGGAGTTGGCTTGGCTGGAAGCTCCGCCCTGAGTATACTGGACATGGGCCAAATCTGAGCTTTTACCAAGTTGGCGAGGAAACTCCTGTTGTCGACAACATTTCTGCAGTTCCCAATATGACAATTTCTATTGGCTTCAAGGATGATAAGATTCTCTGTTGGGAAACAGAAGGGAAAGAAATCGCCGCTCGCTCAACACCTATCACCTTTCTCCGCCTCACGACGTATTGCTTCGAAATCCGTCTTATGGTGCCTTCTCCTGCTACATCATCCGCTTCTACGTCCTCAAGCGCAGCAGCAATCACATTTACGTCGCCCGACCTCCTCGACGCCTTTCATTCTCCCATCGCAGCTCTACTCCTCCGCGCAGCGCAACCGTCCCCCGAGTCCCCTTCCGAACTCCCGCCAGGCGAGCATGAGCTTATTGGCGCTTTTATTTCTGGCCGCGATTGGAAGGTCGACGAGTCCTACGATTCTGCCAGCGTTCTTATCTGTGGCCGGCGCAACTGGAACGCTAAGGACATTTTGGTTCGTCTTGGTATACTTGAGCTTGGTGCTGGTGGCTTGCTTGGTGTGGACGAGGATACAGCTGTTGTCAAGGGGGCGATGAAAAACGAGAGGAGGCTAGACGTGCAGCTGAGGGAGCTCGATATCTATTGATAATCGCCTTCATGTATGCATGCACCTGCGTGCTATAAGTCCCATTTTCATGGCACGCTCAATTTTCTTTTATCCTTGTCTGGGTTTCCTGGTCGGCCATAAAGGATGATATTGATAGCCATATATGTAATGAGTATCTGGATAGATCCGGAAGTGTATAACAGATGGATGAGTATTGCATGGATGGCCAAATGGTTGGTATGGTGTTCGTCGGTTGTCTTACTTACTTAGATACCATCTCACATGTTTACGGAATATCATAGTGTAGAATATAATGATTAATATCTGGAAAGTCTATTACGAGAGAAAGAGGCGCAGGGCAACTGGCTTCAGCTAACAGGTACCTACCCAGGGGGGAGGCAAAACAACTTAGGTTGGAGATACCCTAAATGATGGAAAGACTCAGGTAACTTAGCCTAAGCTCAGGGGACTCTTTATTAAGTTTATTTTAGCATCATCTTTGGACGACGTTCCTCGTCTATTAATATTGCTAATCTGCCAGATGTTGCAGCCAACACTACAACGTTATGTCTGTCCTGCAAGTCATACAAAATACCCATGCTGACCGCCCTTGTCCATTAGGATCTATTCTTTGGAAGTGACGAGGACGAAGAAATCAAGAAGTCGAGCAGATCGGCCGTTTTGCTGTTCGTTGGCTTCCCCCACAACTCACAGAATAACTAAGGCATGAGATGAATGGCGTCCTGATGATGAGAACGATACTTGGCAGTGTGATGTTCAAAGATAAATATACTAACGTTAAAGAAGGGGTGAAATACTAGTAGTCTAAGAGCGATATATGCAACTCGTCTCCAAGACCCTCCAAACTTTAATGCAGATATTTGCATCAAGGGCTGCTGTGGACTGTGAATAGCAAAAACTTGGATAGTCCTCACTTTCAGTGTGAAGGAAATGGCAATGGTGTAGGTATGATCTGTGTTCCTGGACCCCCCACCTTTTTACTTAGCGACCTTGAGAGTTTTTGGTAAGGCATCCCACCTGATACCTACCTAAAAATACAACAACAAGACCAGACCGGAAAGGGCTGCAATTACTTGAAAGTTGGTACATACATCGCTGTTGATCTTGGCACCGTCGACATCATTCTGTGTTTCAGAATCCCGCGTTTATGGAAGGCCCAGTCACACGGAACCTGAGGCAAATCTGATCAATTCGTTGTACATGAGGCACAGCCTCTTCAAGGCCCAACGACTGACACCCCACACTCATCACTATCTGAATCCGAATTCAACGCCTTTTCACCTCTATATAACAACACTGACTCACCAATGTTGCTAAGTTCAGCCGTTAAGCCGCTGAAAAGTCAGATGAGTGAACCGTGAGCAGAGAAGCTGTAACGTTTGAGGCTTATTCAAACCTCCGCCATTCATTCTATCATTCGCTCCACGACATCTCTCATCAATCTGATACATATCATGGACCCCTCACCACCACCACCACCACCACCGGCCTACTCAGAAAGGCCTCCAATACCTCCCCGAAAGCCAGTCAACCCCTCAACTTCAGCGGTTTACCAGACAACACCTTCTGCTGCGTCTTCGTCAACATCAACTCCTGGACCATATATGCACACTCTTTCTGCTGGGCCATGGCTTGGCCCAGATCCGCGATCTTCGTCTACACAGTCTCTCCTACCCGACACTTCACGAGATGGCCAGGCTACAAACCCTGCTGATTACTTAGGTCGGCGCAAACTTCTGATCATCTATATTCATGGTTTCCTAGGAAACGACCAGTCTTTTCAATCGTTTCCCGCCCATGTTCATGCTCTGCTGGCCAACCTCCTCGCCGAGTCTCATGTCATTCACTCTAAGATTTACCCGCGGTACAAGACATATCGCTCAGTAGGCGTCGCACGAGATAACTTCAGCGAGTGGCTTCGTCCCCACGAGTCCCCAAATACTGATGTAGTTCTTGTTGGGCATTCGATGGGAGGTATCCTGGCTGCCGACGTCGTGCTTATGGTTCGTCATCTTAAATCGTTGTACACATGGATATTGCTAAACTCAACGACAGCCCAACCCAAGTCCATATGGTTTATATCCTTTCAAGCATCGAATTTTAGGACATGTATCCCTGGATTGCCCATTCATTGGCCTTCATCCTGGTATCGTTGTGTCTGGTATAACTAGCTTATTCAAACCCGCAGCTACACCACCACAAGATAGCAACCAGAGAGGTACCAGTGACACAACTCCCACGAGCCCTGAGGCGTCAATTCCCGGTGACCCCAGTGTCTCCTCACTATATCTCACCAACTCTCAAAGCACTGATCCTGCATCATCCACAAGTCTTCCGTCCATTGCATCCTCGTCTCAACCGCAATCCGATCCCTTCGCTAACCAACCCTATTTCAACCAACCTTTCTTCAATGACTCGGGCTTGCAAGAACGCCCTTTTGTACAACGAATGCTTCACTTCGCCAACAAGTATCGATCCGAGGGTTTGATACAGGCTGCCGCCAAACACATATTCTCATACCTTGAGTTTGGCAGCTGCCTTGCTGACCCGACAGGACTTGAGTCCCGGTATCGCAAGATACGTGCCCTGGAAGACATTGATGATCTTCAACCAGAAGAGATGAACCAGAGCTCAGCCAGACCTTTGACGAGAGTTCGCTTTGTAAACTACTACACTCTATGCACGGGGCGCCCAAAATCACCCAACGCAAGCCCTGATGTTAGTAGCCCTCAGCTTAGTACAGCTAACACAGCTCACCCCGAAACGAGATATGCTCAATCGAACAGTTCAGCATCTTCGTCTTCCGTGGAGTTGGACTTTTTACCAACCAAGACAAATGCCAAAGAACAGATCCAACCGCATACCCGCCAGGAGAGCCCTTTGCCTATCATCACCTTGGAGCATCGTGATACCCTCGGGAATTCTCGAGATCACCAAACTATACTAGATTCATATGTAAAAGCCCGGGCATCGGATGCCACAATAAAGGACAATCAAGTCGATGACTACGAGGCTTTAGCTTCTGATGTCAACCGGTTGTCAATGCAGAGCATCGATCCTACGCCAATTGACGAGGAATCTCCTGCCCATCCTCTGCCCGAAACTGCCACCCTTAGCTTCCAGGACGAAACGCCTGCTGAGTCCGAGGTAACGACCAATTTGTTACCAGGAAAAGAAGAGGCAGATCTGCCTCCTCTCCCTGACCCCCCAACAACCCCGGATATGCCCGACCCCAGTTTGTACATGGAAAAAGACGAGCGCAAGCAAGTTGAACGCGAGGCCAAGCGCATTAGACGTGCCCACGAGAATGCTCTGAAAGACCATGCTAAGGCAGTACGAGAGCGTGAGAAACTCATCGAAAAGCGCCAGAAGCGTTCACAAAAAGAGGCAGAAAAAGCCCTGAAAGAGGCAGCTCGGCGGGAAAAGGAAGCTCTCAAGGAATCGCAGAGGAAAGAGAAGGAATCGCAAAAAGAAGAGCAACGCCTTGTCAAGGAAGCTTCCGAGCACGAAAATGAGGCCCATAAGGTGCAAGATCATGAAGATACCCAGGGAAACAATAACCTTGAGAGCCAATACAAACTTGAAGCTGAAGCCGAAGCCGAAGCCGAAGCCGAAGCCGAAGCCATCACGAAGGCTGGTAGCCTTAAGCCATCAAAACCTCGGAAACTCCGAAAATTCTGTAATCTGCCTACCAAGGGTGGCAGAATGGATGATCCAACCTGGGTCGACATCTACATGGCAGACGTGGACGAAGTTGGTGCACACTGTGGTCTTTTCTTCGCAGGACAACATTATGAGAAGCTTGTTGGTGATGTTGGCAACCGAATTATGGGGTGGGTGCAAGATGACATGACCAGGAGGACGATTCAGGACATGGAAAAGGGATCATTTAAGTGACAGAGGGCTGAATACATGCTGTAAGTTAGATCGGGACAACACAAATACCCATATGTGCGAGTGGCATAAAGCGATATCCAAGCATTGGGGGGAGGAGCCAGAACCAAGATCAAGAACTTTCGGGTAACCAAACATATTTAAGCAAAAGCTTCCGAAAAATAAATCTTCAGTGAATTAGCCTAAGTAGTTTTTTATTTCTAATTGTTTTTATTGTTTCATATTACAACTAAAGTCTCCTTCCTAGCTAGAGAATTAATAATTATATGGCAAGATGGCGACTTGAAAGACATATAAAGAAAATGTCAGACCTTAATAGGTTGTTAAAATAAACTCGGCAAAAGGTATCCTAAACTCAAGTATCTTAAACTTATCCTAAGCTTACCTACCATACAAAGTTACCTAAGTCTCTTTATCATTTTAGATTGAGGTCCTGAGTTTTCTTTCCTCTCCTAGACACGCATGATGGAAGTACAGCAGATCCACTGTTGCAGGCGGGCCTAGGCTCAGGTCATCACGGACCAGGGACCCATATCTATACGGACCAGGCCTTGTTTACGTGGTGGAAGGGTCCGGGTATTTTTGGAATATTCTTAGGTCTCAGGAATTGGAATGTCACTGGGGGTAGAAGTGTTTCTACTAATTGTACCAAAAGAGAAGAAGAATAAGGGAGGGTAAACACTGGAAGAAAAACAAGTAAAAAATGCAATATTCAGTGAGGTTTAATACAACATCGAGAACAATAAATATTTCTATGCCTAGGGCCCGAAACTGGCTGGATGTCGATCTGTACAATGATTTACATCAGATTGGTTGATCAACTTACAGCTCGGAACAATATTGATCATCACCTGAGTTATGTAAAGTCTCCTACGGATACAAACACTAAATTTCCTTACTGGCATGTGTTGGCAATGATGGTTAACGTCCTATTTAGAACTCCTTTTTGCAACTTCCGACTGCTAATAACACTGCAAAACCCCTCGGGCTATGAGGCCATGGCAGTCCATCAATAAATGCCAAGCTTTGAATCGAATCTCAGCTGTTAGCCCCGATTCGTCAGGTCTTCCGTGACACATGCGTGCTCAGTGACCCCGGTTTAATTTCCCCGATTGCGTTGCTTC